AAATTGGGGCAGCTGACACCAGATTTTGAACGTGGCGATTAGACGGAAGATCTTGATTCCCCGTCTTTTGCCAGGTGTCGCAGTGATCAAGCCGAAGCACCGGACTGGATTGGCCTGGTTGGGAAAGGGCAAAACTGGACAAAATAAAAAAAACTGATCCTGGTAACACAGGACAGAACACAGCCGAAGAGAACAAGTAGGGCAGGCTAGGACAGAAGCAGAACAAGACTGGATGCACAGAGGGCGAGACAAGAACACGTGTATTGACATTTCTCATTGCTGAAATGCCAGCCAACCAGCCAGCTACTGCAATGACTGGCAAACATGCCGCACAATTGAAGTATGAGGTTATAAATGTCCATTAGCCAGTCTCAGCTCTTGTCTCCCTTTACAGCAGTAAACACCGTTCGATGTTCAAATGTTCGTATTCACTGTCTTTGCACACACAATTACGTCTCTTCACACAATCGCTGTCTCTCCACCCACTGTCTTTCCCGTCTCATCTCGCCAACACAAGAACGAAATGTCCCCACCGCTCGACAGTTCGCAGCGCACCTCCCCGCCTCACCTCTCTCTCGCCACTGTCGCCGGGCGTGGCATGGCGCCGCCGCGCCGGGCGTCCCCCCGCCCGTCGCCTCCCCGGCGTCAGGCTTCAGTGGGGACGGGCTGGCGCCGGCTCCGCGACGGCCGCTGAACCCGTCCTGGACCGCACCACATGCACTGTGCTATACATACATAACACGCCTCCGTATATCACATCACAATTAAGTTACATCGGCAAAGCGGAGCCAAAAAAGAGAAATAGCTAAATACCAAAGCATCAAACAACCGGAAACACTTTGTATTCTCTTCCGGGGCTTAATCCAACGGAACTCAACGCTCACTAATCTCAAATTTAAAGGGCTCCTTGCACTCTTCACCAGCTGTGGTTGTGGGAGCTTGAGGGAGAACCTAACGGGCCGTTTCCTCCCAGATTGCCCCTGTTTTGAAGTGATGCATTCCGAACTTTTGGATTAAATAAGCTTTGTCACCCGAAGCTTCTTTCGATATACTGACTCCGACAAGCTTAGCATCGTGCTCTGTGGAGGCCTAGGCGTAGGAACGTTTCAAAAGGGGGGGGGGGCAAGCTCAGGGTGTACTTCAGAACTTCTTCTGGAAAGCAAGCCCGATAACCGGGGGGGGGGGGGGGGCGAGATAGAGTTTGTCATCGCTCTTTATTCAAGTGTCACGGCTGCTATGCTAAATGTGCATCTGAAGCTGTTCTTTATTGGTGCACATTCTTGCCCATTGGACTCATCTGTCATTCTGCAAATAAAGCTACCCAGTTTCCCAAGATTATTCGTCCATTTTAACAATGTCTTTTCTGGGAAGGAGAAATTCCACGAGCGGGTGGGCATTTTGGGTCGTAAAGGAGACATCTGCCTCACAGGGTAGATGCCAAAATACGGCCTGGACATAGGCTGGTGAGAATTACGAAAGTGAATCGATGGTTCACACTGCGACATATTTTTTATGCGCCTGGATTTCGCCGGCTTCTTTTGAAAAGATGATACTTGTCGCATTATTTTAGGCGAAAACAAATTCGAAAGCTTGACATTTCCAAAAACAATGTGAAAAATCATAGAACTGGAGGTTCTCTTAAAGAAAACTAAGCCACATAATGAAGGCCCTTATGTCATAATTGCTTATCTGGGCCCTGCTCCCATCCGCCGTCGGCGGCCACTGCCCCGGCCCGGCTGTCTCCCGCGTGACTGGCTGTGAACTGATGGCATGACTGCTTTATTACATATTCCTGGATCAGCATTACTGCTAACTGGTGCGCGACACATGTGTTGGACACTTGCAGCAATATTTTTTTTCTGAACTATCTTCCTCCACGCACACTACAGCAGAACAATAGCCTTCTGGAAGCTGCCTACCTTAGATATGAATTGGCCCCACGGACATTTCATTTCCCATCGTTCAACGTATACGGCTTTCTTAACCGATAGAATTCAGAAGCTTTGTCATAATTTTTTATCCGGGTTCGACAGACATTAAGGACATCGCGAAGGTAAATTAGATCGATACGTTCGATTAAAATTTGAAGATGTAAATTTGATTGTGGATCGAGTGGTCAACAGTGTGTATTAACATGGCCAAGCCATGCTTGTCTCGAAATGTTCACCATTCAGTCAGAATTGTTAAGTGATGCAATTCATGTAACTTGGTTTTTCAACATGCGCGCCCGCAAATCTTAACAAAAACCTCCATTCCAGGCGTTGCAGCCTCCATAGTCCGCGGAGTGTCAGCCCGGCCCCTAGCTTTTAACCTTGGCCCACCAGTGGACGAAAATGACGACACTTCTGAAACATTTACCTTTTAACGCATTACCCGATTAGTAATACAAGTTATGTGACATAATTTTAAGCATACTCACCCGAAAATCTTAGAAACAAAAACCTCGACCCTAGGCGTTGTAGTCTCCGTAGGCCGCGCAGTATCGGTCCAGCCGCTCATGAGCCGCGGTCAACGTGCGGACGAAAATGATTACGCTTCTGAAAGCAGTATCTTTGAACGCTTAATAAAATCAAATATTACATTTAGAAGGCAATCTGGAGTCATATGTCACGTGTTCGATTTTCAGACTGATCATAAGAACGGATTGGCAATTGGATAGCGGATCGTTTGGCATCAGAAATTTATATTTACCTTGTAAGGTCGCTGACCTGTGGAAGATAAAAGTGAGATCGTGCTTTCAGCCGTCAATTTCCAGGGAATCATCCGATCTGATGCAATAACGGAGTGCTGTACAAAGCCATACTTCACTGAGATGCTTTCTCAGGCAACACAAATATTGAATGTGAAAATTACGTTGACCTAAGGTCGTGTATAAAGGTCAGACCAAGGTCAAAACCAACCTGTTTGATTACTCTAGGGCTTGCTGTATGGGATAGTTTCTGGCGCTCATTTCGTATTTATTGATGGCAGGAACCACATTATACATCTTCCATCGACTTCTTAGAGGTCAGAACAGGTCATTGACCTACAATCACCCGGGTCAACACGTTGTTAGTAAGATGCTGCCTAGCATAACATTTGTCGCTTATTCAAATGCAAAACTCGGAGCAGCCTCATATAATTTTGGTTACCTTGGCCTTCAAAAGGTCAAACAAGATCACTGACCTTAAATAACCATGTGACCTTTTGTTCAGAAGCAGTCATCTAGGTTCTGGGGCACTTTGGAGACCAACATGGAAGTTGACTTGTTTGACCTTATTTGACCCAAAGATCATGACCTAGGAACCTCAAACTTGACCAAAGTTCGTTCACGTACAGGTTAGCACATCAATTTCTGACCTATCACACCCCGTAAATTTGGTGCGTCTACCTTTCTCAGTTCGAGATCTCAGGAGGGTCAAATTGACCCTCACCCGCATCCCTACCCGAGCGAAGAGCATCCAGCCGGCCACGCGGGCGCGGGTTAAAGCACCGCGAAGTGGGGCTGGTATCTGGTGGTTGAACTGGAAGAGTAAAGGTAGAATCTCCATCTTTCGAGCTTCTGTGATTATAAATCTGTCCAGAAGACAGATCAACACGGCGCCCGTCGTTTGGTGGCATTTGCAGTGGCCGAATCTTTTCGGTTTTGCGGAAGCTGCAGCCCAAGTCATCGATGTTCTCGAGGCAGCGGGCAGGCATGTTCAAACCTTTTGAGTTTATTTGTTTTACTCATCCATTCCGAAAAAAATGGACGTTTTGAGGCAAACGTGGGATGGCTTTGTTCGCTTTAAGTTCATTTCGACCCACCTCATTCAACCATAAAGAGACCCCCAATCTACTCAACAATAATGAGACCCCTTATTTCCTTCCGGGCAAGGGGTCCTTGGAGTAGAATACCAGAGGTACATTACCCTTTCCGGTCAAGAGCTGAGGGGCCATTCCGTCTGATCGCAAAGCGTCTTCTGGCTTTCGTTCTGGCGACAGGGAGCAGGATCCCTTGACCGACCCGGAGACCAGAAGGATATATCACATGATATTGTTGAGAAGGCCTTCCTGACACGGGAGGCCTGACCCGCGCAGTTGGCCCCGGATCAGCACAAGAACCCTCACTGACGTAACAACACATCTGATGGCCGCAGGTGGTCCAACAATTGGCACACAGACTCCAGATCCGTGTTTTTCTGTGTTCTGCAGGAATATTGATGACCCCTGAACGCATATTGTAGATGAGGGGGTCCCAAATTTGTAACAACATGGCTAATCCACGTTCACCTTAAAATGTCCAAGATTCAGTCAGAATTCATTACCGATAAAAAACTATGCAACATGGTTTTGTTCATACGCGCCCGCAATTTGCAGCAACAGCAGCCTCGACGCCCGGCATTGCAGTCTCCATGGGCCGCGCAGCGTCGTCCTTACGGCTGTGACATTGAGCGATGGCCAATGAGCGGACGAAAAAGATGACACCTTGAGGAAGATGACCGGTGAAATTCGTCAATCGCCAAGTATGTTTAATGTAGTGCAAAGGAAAGCTAAGCACAACCGTAATCTGAAAAGTGTGGGGGGGGGGGCAGTTAGCACTGCTGCGCCCCCCCCCCCCACCTTGAAAAGTGGGGGGGGGGCAAGGCCCCCCCCCCTGACTCCCCTGTTCCTACACCCATGCATGGAGGTGGTGGAAGTATTTGCAATAGAACCGAAGTTGCCAAAGTTCTCAAGTATGTGTCGATCAAAACAAGACGATCCCAAAGCTGGAGTGCTGAAAACCGCGGCCAGCGGACCGAACATATGATAGCGACGCCCGCAGAAAGCCGTCTTAAACACAATGCGGCTGATGTAGTGCGAGATAGGCGACGATGTGTGTTTGTGCGTTATTGGGGCTTTACGACGCACTCAGCTACTGAGGCTATACGGCGTCGCCTGCCTCTCACCCTGGCAGGAAGGGCGGGCACCGCGGGGAATAGGTGATGATCAGATCATCAGACAACATATTTTACTTCGCGCGATTTATACATTCATTACTCTCGATTTCAATAATTCAGTTACAGGAAAGTGCTTTTATTTAGACCTCATTGTGCTGACCGATCTAACCGCTTTTACATGCCTTGTGTTATGTCCGATTTCAGACCAGGCACGTGCCACGTTAGTTGCTAACATTTTTGCGGGTCGAAGACCCTATTGTGACGCTTTTTAACGCAGGACATGTACACGCGCGATTAATACTAAACAAGAGGCTATCAAGCGCGAATTAGGAAATTACAACGCACCAGAAGGCAAGACATAGCTTCTCTAAGCAGGTTATTATATAAAATGCTGAACTTAAGCCCATGTCTTCCACGGCAGGAGCGTAAGGCGAGGCTGTTCAAGAAACTAATCCACATATCCGAAACTTCAAACGCACTCTCACAGACACAAAATGGCGTGCGTGCCGCCAATGCAGTAAGTCAGTAAGCTGGCGTGGTAGTGGAGTTTCTGCTTTCCGGCGACATACTCCTTGGTTCCGGTTCAGAAAGTCAGTTCCGCTGCAGGCTTATGCTTGCGAGGCCGCCCGCGCTTCCTTTTTCCATCCGGAGTATCCGGCAGCGCGTTCCACACGGACTGTGGCAGTTCAAAGAGGCTGTAAGCCGCTCCAATCGCCAAGACGTGTTCGCACATCTTTCGCTGCAAGTAAGTGGGACACGTGCAACGGAGTTGTGAGAGGTCCGACTTATCAGCCAGGTCGACAACCTTCCAGAGCGACATCCTCAACGCAATGAAGGCGTCAAACGAGTCCGCGTCACCGTGCATTTGCGTCTCGAATGTGGCCACTTCGTCCACGGTCACAAGCGTGCGGTCTCCGGACGGGATGTAGATGGCGTTTCCGTCGTTCACCATCGTCTTCTGCCGCTTCTGTAGCTGGCAAGCCGCTTTCAGAAGACCTTCATCAGCCTCCACAGTCCTGACGAGCTCTCCGGTTTGCCGTGCTCGAACGGACCATTCTCTGACCAGCGCCACGGCGAGGTGTAGAAACCGCTCAAGCGGAAGCTGCTCCCTGAACGTATGCCGATTTCTCACTTCGTTAGTGATTGAAGCCAGCTTTTTGTTTGTGCTGTATGACACGTCGTCGAACCCCTCGAACCAGGTGGCATTGTCGGCCAGAAAATGTTCTTCGAAGAAGTCGATGAATCCCGACGTCGGCCACTGCCGACGCCACTTCTCCAGCATCAGCAGCGAGCTGACTTCGAACTGTTGCTGGTCACAAGAGAGCTGCAACGCGGCGATGTCTTTTTCGAAAGACGACTGAGCCTCCCTTTCGTGGCGTCTGAGTTGAGTCGCGATTTCCTTCCTGGTGTGCAGCCAGCAGACACGGCGTCTGGTTTCCGGAAACACTTCCCCCATGGCTTTGTTAAGAAGTACGTCACCGTTTCCCACGTAAGTAAGAGGCCGAAACTCTGAGCTTGTGATCGCTTCAACGCATCGCTTCAGGGTCTTAAGAAGCTGCACATAGTTAGCATTTGTCTCGGAGCTCAGCACGGAGAACATCACCGGAAAGAACTCTCCGCGGGCGTCACTGACTCCCACAAACAGGACTGAAGAACCATGCCACTTGAGTTTGCAAGATGTGTCCACATTGATCGTGAGCGCCTGCGCGGCGAATTTCAGCAGACGTCTCGAACTCAAGAAAAAGGCGAACCCGCCGGTCTGCACGCTGATATTGTGGTCCATGACATACACGTTGTCCAGATCTCCGTCGAGCGCGGCATCAGGTTGAGTGACCGAGTGCGCACTGCACCACGTTTGCAGATCATTGATTATGGATGTCACCGGTGCCTGCAAATTCTTCCTCAGCTTTCCAAGGAAGCACACAAGCTGTCTGTGCTTGAAGTCAGTGATGGTTTTGCTCTTCAGAGCCCTTTCAATTGCCCTTGGCTTTCTGATTCCCGCTTCCCAGAGTTGAACCACCTCCTGAAATATGCGACAGCGTGTCATTCCTACACCGCACGCAAAGGCTTTTTGTTCACGAGCAAACGATCCACCCTGCGTGGAATGCGAGGGTTGCGACGAATTTAGGAAACGGTGACAGCGATAAGACAGAAGATGAGACACTGCTGCACTAAGCAAGGACCTGGTCTGATCTCGGACAGGTAGGGATGGTGAAGTCACGGTGTCGGTACCTCGGGTATCCACGGTCATCCCTCGGTGAATACACACATCGCGGTATTTTAATGACCACCATTTCTGTTACGCATTTCTCGCAAACGAACCAACTGTCCATTTCAGTAGGAAATGTTCATCTCAATTCCAAAAAAACCGAACTGCATCCCGATTATGTCAGAACCAGGCGTTAGACTTACGGAAGGCGCGGCACGCCTATTAAACTAGGTCACTGCCAATTTGGTCGCGCAACGCCATCTTTTGGTACAACATAAGCACACCTAGAATGTGAGAGAGTCATCCACCACGGCGACATCAGCAGTAAAGACCAGGAATGCAGAGTTCAGACTACGCAGCATCGCCCGCAGCATATCACAAAGTTCAGCCGGCAACTGACAGCATCTAGATCCTGGCAGGGGTTCCTCGTATCACAGCTTCTGATCACACAATTTTTCTTAACACGCGCAAGGGTGGGGGTGGGTCCAATTGACCCCCGAAGGTTTTTCCAGAATGGTTTTCGAACGGCGCGGCGCAGCCGCGCCAACTTTTGCATGGCTACAGGCAATTAAATAGCGGATCGTTTGGCATCAAAAATTTAGATGCACCTGGCAAGGTCGCTGACCTATGGCGATCAGTCAGGCCACGGTTTCACCGAAGTCAATTTCTAGGGAATTGTTCAATCTGATGCAACAACGAAGTGTTAGAGGAAGCCATACATCTCTGAGATGCTTGCTTAGGCAACACCAATATTGAATGAGCAAATTACGTTGACCTAAGGTTAGGTACAAAGGCCAGACCAAGGTCAAAACCACCCTATTTTTTAATCTAGGGCTTGCAGTATGAGATAGTTTCTGGTGTCCATTTCGGATTTATTGATAGCAGGAATCGCATTATACATCTTCCATGGACTTCTGAGAGGTCAGTATAGGTCATTGACCTAAAATGACCCAGGTCAACATTTTGTTTTTGGAAACATACTGCCCAGCGTAATCTTTGTCGCCTATTCAAATGCAAAACTCAGCAGTCTTAAATGATTTTGGTCGCTATGACTTTTTAAAGGTAAAAAAGGTCACTGACCTTAACTGAATGTGAACTTTTGCTTATGAACAGCTATTTAGGTTCTGGGGGCACTTTGGAGACCAACCTGGAAGCTGACCTTTTTGAACTTATTTGACCCGGAGGTCACAACCTAGGATCATTAAGGTTTTAGGGCACGCCGACTTCCGGGGTCATTTTGCGCCCAACCTCAAACTTGGACCTAAGTGAGTTCACGTACGGGTCAACACATCCTGTGAATTTGATGCCTTTAGCTTTCTTAGTTCCCGATATCTCAGGGGGTCAAACTGACCCCCCTCCCTTCACCTGAGCGAAGCGTATCTAGCCGGCTACCAGGGCGCGTGTTAACGTTCAGCCATTTAGATGAACATTGGTTGCAGAGCATTCATTTTTTCCTTGTAGCAAACTTAAATGATCCAGTAAGCATGAACACCTCTAGTCAGGGGCGCGGAAGCCACAGGGGAAAGAGAGTGTGTGTGGGGGGGGGGGGGGGGCAGGGGTTAGTCCTTGGCTATTTGGGCTTACGGGTGCATCGATTGCACGGTCACACAACGCCCATGACAAAATGATCATCAGAACTTCAGCAGCTTGAAAAGTTTGTGCACGAGGTATGAACTCCTAAGGTGGGTATAAAGAAAGCATACAACTTAATGCGCGATGTAAATTTGAACGGGGGGGGGGGGGGGCAGGGGGAGGACTGAACCTCAAACTTTTCACGAACCCAATGAGCGTTGAATGGAAAAATAGCAAAAAATGTGTATCCCCAACGTGGAAAAAAATTCAGTGCCCATGTCACGAGCAGAATATGCATTGAAATGCCATACATCTATAAACAGTGTAGAGCTATACAACAATCCCAAATACACACTTGCGTATATTACCGACGAAACAAAGCATGCGATTTCATACACTGCAGTACCACAACGCCATAACGTCCAATGTCGGGGGGGGGGGGGGGGACAAGCCCGATTCTAGTTGTCAGGCTTGAACCCACGATCATGGATAAAATCTCTACCAAGTGAGCTCAGACATCGCCAAATTTTATCTCACCGTAACGCGCCACTGGTCATCTGTTACCTTTTTGGTTGAAGGTGACAAGCCCCATTCGCGCCGAAGAGCCTCTTCTGAATGAACATGATCCTTGCAATTGAATGACACGTGCACCTCGTCGCTGTTGTTCGCATAGAGCACTTCCAGTTCTGAGCTGCAGCCCTGTATGTTGCAGAGGTAGTACCTCTTTCGGCCGGCCTTGGTCGTCGTACACCGCTTCTTGGCCCATCTGGCGGGCTTTATCTCCGCCTCTGCGAACACAAGAAGCATCGTGAAATACGCTGTTGGCGGCTCTTGCCTGCTAACCGCTCCAATGTGCTACATCGAAGAACATCAGCCGTCGACGCGCCACCCATGAAACACACGTTCACTAACGAGGAGACATGTGAAGACGGGAAATCACAAAGCACAGAAAGTCATTCTTAGTCATGCTCATACGACAGAACAGATAAATGTGGGCTAGCATAGACACGACACGCCACTCGCTGCGGACGCTCGCATAGCAATCTCAGCATGAAATGTGCCATGATTAATTGTGTGTGTAACAGAACCATTGGACACCTCCAAAGATTTTGCGCAAAAGGACAGGGCCCATACATTCTAAAATGCAACTCTTATGCGGCAAGGCATACGGCCTTCTCGAAAATCCTACCATGCACACCTTTAACCCGATGGGCACATCTCGCGCTTCGGTCCGCGTGCCAGTTCGACAGATACTTCCTAAAGACGGGTTGCAAAAAAGGACTGCAAGTGAAACAGCCAAAGTATTCAGTTCCATGGTTCATCCGTTTATTCATCTTTTTATCGATTGTATCGGCTGATACGGCGCATAAATATATAACTAATGGATGCCGCACGAATACTCCAAGTCCCAGTGCATTGCTAATCGCCGTCTTGGCCCCGAGCGGCCGCATGACAGTGCCGTGGACAAGACACAGTTCCAATACGAGTGCCAGGCCGGGCCATAGTGGTACAAACTCTGCCACTAGAGGATTATATGAACTACCAGGGGCTACTCAATACCCACAGCCACCAGCATGTGCAAGCAGCCCACAAGAGCGCACAGCCATCCCACGCCAGATTCATACACTTACTAATTATGTGCAAGAAGTCACCTTGGGGTTGCTCATGCACCTTCCTAACATTTTATTTGAGGGGCAGAAAAGGGCCAAATGCACTCATCAGGCCTGACACCATATGAAATGACCTGTTTTGGAGATAATTGTTCTATGCTGCTCCTAAACCCTGCTAGCACCACCATTTTTAAAAGTTTAATCCATACCTTTTGAATAGATGGATTTCTTGGATCAGAGCTCACATTAAGCATCACTTGTGTGAGCCACACCCTCTATGATCCATGGTGCAATTCTAAGGCAACCACAGAATTTGGTGGCAAAGAAATTTGTTAACATGCCATTAAGTTGTACAGTGCCACAAAGCTCAGCGTGGTACACCTGGTCCTCTGATGTCAGCTGACCTTAAGCATGGCTGCTGCCACCTCTGCAGGTCATACCTATCAAGAAAATACTGCTGCAGATGATACCTGTCAAACAAATACCTAACCAGCCCAGTGCACAACCTTGACCACCTGTGGATGGATCAGGTGGATCAAAGGGCAGGCACACTAACCCAGCAATGCAGAGGGATGCCTGTACCAGCCTGTACCAATTGTAACACATCTTCCTCCCTGCGTGCTCCTCTCCTAGATGTCTAGTGCCAAATCACTGACTCCTTAGAATTTGCATTGTGATTGTGTTTGACACCATTCATCCTATCTTTTAGTGCCCATGTAAAACATGAGGAAATCGGCTGAACTTTATAAAGCTACATGACCTATGATGGAGATGTTAATGTTAATAGGATAATGTGTAGAATCAGCTCACAAAACTGCACTTAAAGACACTCAGACATGACATGTTCTGAACATATCCCAAAATGACATGACGGTGATGACACAAGGTGTGCACGAAACTAATACAACTGAGAATGGGCCACAGCAGTCATGATTAAATCTACAAGTCCCAGCATGCCCACATCAGCCATAACACACTGATATAAAAATGAATTAAGCAAGACCTTATGCATAGTTCAAACACTAGGCTAGCACAACTCAGCTCCCATGGTGAGACAGTCACAAAACAACAGTAAAAGAACCACATCATGACCTTTTATAACCCTAGCACAGCTTATGTGCACAACACACATTGCTTGAAAATAGGAGTAGAGTGAAGTGGTTGAATGACACAAACATATATGGGAAGTCATGCACACACCACAAATTTTATTTTGCATCATCATGGAAAACCCTGTGCAATTGGGCAGTATGCTGGGGTCAGGGAGGCAGCATGCACCTCAGAGACCCTCCATCCCACTGCCCCTGCCCCTGATGATGCGCAACATGACCTTTATGGGAAATATGTTGATTGCCAGAATACATGCATATCAACTGACCATTTTCCAAGAGCCACTTTTGAAATGCAGCTGGGGACTTGAGACTACATATCTCTCTCCAGTCCTGCCCCTTTTGCCTGTAGCGTCTCTTTGCTTTTGGCCCGCTCGCAGGCTCATTATCCTCGAAACCTTCTATCTCTATATCCTCAAAAGTAACTATCTCTTCTTGCGTCGGTGACGGCGAACGAGATACGCAAGGTGGGCACTTCGGCTTCTGACGCCCGGGTCTGATCCGCGACGCTCCATCCCCCAACGAAACTCCCGGGGCATCTACTGGCGTCAGAACAATACTCAAAGTAGCCGCTGTTCCTGGATCTAGGTTCGCTCCTTCTTTATAGTCACTCATACTTATTATAAAGGTACGCACTGCTTTCAGCGCAACGGCGCCAACTGCACCCGCCCCTATTTTCGGGTTTTAATCACTAATCACGCATGATTCTGCCACCAAGGACTTGACTTTTGTGTCCGCTAAAGTGCTGCAGTACTACCATAACTATCAGTTTGAAAAGTACTTGCTGAAATTTTCCCTCACGGGCCCTGTTTTTTTACTGACATATTCAGCTTATTGCCACTATCCATTTGCAGAATTTCCCGCAATTTCTGCTGCGATATTGCTGTGTGGTGATGCCGTCAAGACGTGAAGGCTGCTAATTGCCGGTGCCACGATTGCTTACTAATTCACTTATTTCATGAATACACCTCGTGCAATCGTGCTTAAATATCGCAGTCCTCAAAATTTGACTGTCTGGTTATAAGTGTGGCCCGGTTTTTTGCTTGTAAGTTTGTGTATTTAAAGCTTTTTGTCTCGTTGGGATTGTAAGTTTTAATATGGTAGTATTTTTCGGTATACGCTGTGCGCACCTAATACTCCCGTTGTTCTCTAAGCTCCCTCCAGTTGTGTTGTGGGTTGCGTGAGCCCTGAAGGCGTGTTGTTTGTGGATGGGGTCGAGGACGTGTGTATAGGTGGATTGGGCTGCTTATGGTTAGGAATGGGTTTTCATATCAGATTGTGATAATTATCACCTATGGCTCTTGAATGTAGAAGAAGAACGTTATCTGCTACAACATTTATGAGACAACTGCAGAGGTCATGGTAATCGATTATGATTGGAATATAAAGTTAGCGGCAAAACGTGCACTTAAATTCTGAGGCTTTCACAATGTAAGCCATGTCTCTTTCAGGCTTTCATGCCTTATTTTCCTAAATAGTGCATTGTAATTATGAAAGAACAGTATTGTTGCGGCCACATGTCTTGCGAACGCTTGTGATCGCACCATGCTATAATGCTGTAACAACAATTGAGTTTGAGTGGGTTGGTCAAGCTAGTAATAAATTGCAATATCAAATGATGTTTCAAATCTAGTAAGGTTGGCAATATCATTGGGTTTAACCTACTTTGAACCTAACCTTACATGTCCTAGCCCCTATCTCAACCCAACCCAGCCCAATTCAACCCTGCCTTGCCTTCCCTTACCTTTTGTTTAGCATGAGCCTAGCTGTCTGTACTCCATGTTTAGCTGACTTGATGGTTCAATGATAAACACTATATTCTAATTATTCTATGCCTTGTAGATGCTATTGGCAGTGGATGGTCAAATTATTCCATTTTTATCAGTAAGATCATGCAATTTTGATGTTATCTGGCAAATGTAGGTATGATTCAGGTCCTTGCAGACCTTTTCTCCCCAAACATTTTTTCTGTTCTTTTCTATGATGTGGTGTAAAGAAGCTGTGTTATATAAACAGCTTTATTCTGAATAGAGGTGCTGCTTTATTCTGAAAGGAGGTATGTGTTTCAATTATTACCTGTATGGCTGAAGAAGCCCTTTTCCTCTCCCCCCCCCTCCATCAAGGTGGTCAGAGAATAGAAGTGGTTTTCTTAAAGGGAGAGGCAAAGAGTATGGAGTGCAATGTAAAAAATCTAGCTCTTTTCTGTATGCATTGCATTTCAAACTTGCCTGTTTTCCTACTCAAATATTTGATGCTTGATTTTGCCCTTCATAAGCAAGCTGTTTCTGTTGTGGTCTTTACATTGATTTCCATTGTTTGGCTTAGTGACACAAGTGTGATTTTATGGTTTCAGACAATGGGTGACAGAAGAGATAACATGAGGCTTGCTGAGGTGAAAGTTTTGGAGCATCCTACTTTAAAGGTAATAAAACAGCAAAAACAAAACAACAGCTGGAATGGGATCAATATAAAGATATCATATTTTCTTTGCAATATCATTAAGCATTATCTTGAGAGGATTCATCAGCATAATAAAATAAAAAACACCTCAATAGGACATAACAATTTTTCAGCCTTTCATTGGACACTTTGTGCTTGGCCTGGACTTGGGGGATTACAGCAGGGTCACAAACATTGCTTTTCCATGTCATGATGTCCTTTTCTGTCCAAACTTATCCCTTGTTAGGTTAGAAGTCTTCAGAGCCCTTTGAAAGGCCCTTCAAAAATGAGTTTTGAGTCATGGGTTCCATTTCAGGAGTTTTTCAACATTGACATGCCCTCTGAAATTCTTAAGGTCCAATCCTTCATGGATGAAAGATGATGACCTCATTGTTGAAGTCATAGTGGGTGTTTTTCAGCTGTTGCATGATTCCTTCCTGTTGGAATAACATGCTGTGGCCATTGTAATAAATATTTGACTTGGATGAACTGATTTTGCCATATGTGAGTGACATCCATTAATTAACAACTATTGGTGCATGGTTCAGGGTGCAAGGTGTTAAAAATGTTGCATTTTTCATGACTATCATACAAAACCGTGAAGCATTTCTGGGAAAGGATAATGTGCTGAAAGCTACTTTTGATATATATATATATATATATATATATATATATATATATATATATATATATATATATATATATATATATATATATATGTATATATATATACAGCTATGTGTGTATGTATTGTGTTATGTATTTATGTATATTTGCACATTACATACAGTGACACACATGTATTTAGTCTGTGTACATTTGTGTCAGACACTTGCAGTTATAATCATTGCCTGAACACAGGCCAGGAAAATAGTTATTTGTTTGCTTCATATGTCTGCATTCAAAGGCAAAAAATGATGTGTTATACTTTGAGACAATTGGACACTAGCCTCTGTGGTCTGCGAATGATGGATGTGTAATAGTAGCCTCTGGCCACTCTTTTAATACACTTGACATGATGACCTACAGACATCTTAAGATAACCATGTTCATCTGAATGCAACCATATGCATTTCTCCAGGTGCCTTATGAGATACTGAACAAGAAGTTCCGGAGCTCACAGAAGACGCTGGACCGCGAGCTGGCCCACTTCTGCTCAGCTGCCAATGAGCTGGAGACCAGTCTGCACCGCACCTCCGTCACGGTGGACGACGTGACGCGGCTGCTGGGCACCGTCACAGACCGGTTACGCGCGCTTAAGCGCAAGGTGGGCGCGGACCCGCCGAGGACTGGCCGACTTCGGCTGTCTTTCCGCGGAGGCGGTGGCAGTCCGGAGGTGCGGGCTGAGCCCCTCCCCCCCCCCATCCGAGATGATCTTTGATGTGCTCCATCCATGTCCCAGCTGACACAGGTGGGGGCACTCACGTTGATGCTGCGATGGGAAGACTAGGTCCCTGACGAGTCCTGTGCATCACTGATAAACATTGTGTTTTTGTACAGATGCTTGTAGCACTGGCAGATGAGTGTGGCACCTGACGAGTCGATCGGCACCTGTTTTGATCTACAGTCGGAGGAGTCTATCACTGACGAGCTAGAGTCAGCGGACCTGTGCAAGCGACGCCTCAAGCACCTGATGGAATACAATACTGACAGTCCGGGCGTCGTGTCCCAATGGAAGCGCAAGCGACTCGACCGCCTTCTTGTCGACCACTTTGTGCGCTGCGGCTTCTACGAGCTGGCAATGAGCCTGGCGCGCCAGTCGCACATTGAGGAGCTGACCAACATTGACATATTCCTGGTGGCCAAGGAGGTACGGCGTTACCGATGATGGAATGGTGGCCACGCGCGTGGCACTCACTGCGGTCACGTCCTCCATGCAGACTGCAGCTGGGCCTGTCTGTCGCTATGGTATGTCCCAGTTGTCTGCTGCCAGGCACATGTCAGCGCCTGGACTGCCGAGATTCGCCATTCCCATACGCGAGGCAGGTCTAATGTCCCGTTATTCTCTTGTGGTGTTGTTTGGAACGGTGCTCATCGTCTAACGCACGGCGTCTAGATGAGTGACCGATGAGGGCCGGGTGTTTGCATGGTCTGTTGTCGGCTGAGGGGGGCCGGCTGCGGCGGCGTCACAGCCTCAGCCCGTCTGGCTGCCAGGTAGAGGAGAGTCTGCTGCGCAAGGACACGGGCCCGGCGCTGGCCTGGTGCCACGACAACAAGTCGAAGCTGCGCAAGAGCCGCTCCAAGCTGGAGCTCTACCTGCGGCAGCAGGAGTTCGTCGAGCTGGTTAAGGCTGACCGGCGCATGGAGGCTGTGCTGTGAGTGACTTGCCATGCTGTGACCTGCGGCTGGCTATTCTGCGGGTGGATTGCCACGCTATGGCCTGTGGGTAGCTGGCCACACTGTGGCCTGTGGTTAGCTGTCCATCCTGGCCAGTGGGTGGTTCACCACACTGACTTGTCGGTGGCTCACCATGCTGTGGCCTATGGGAGGCTCGCCATGCAGTGGCCTGTGGATGACTCCTCATGTTCTGGGCGGCTCCCTGCGTTGTTAGTGGTTTCGCGTTCTGCGAGCGGCTAGTAGCGCAGGCCACGTCCGTATGCAGGTGTTGTCAGTGTCTGACCTCATCCAAGGTTATACTCTTGTCAGCAGCGATGCTAAGCGTTTTCACATGCGTGATGTATCATTTACGATCAATAGCAAAGGTCCCCGGGGTGGAGCAACCCACTAACTTTGAGAACTTGTAGCACGGCCCCATTGCTGTAGACCAGACGTTGGGACAAAGTCAGGCGTAGAGCTTCAGGGCCGAATCCCAAACCAATAGTGGCATGGAGTCGAAATCGAGGCGAAAGTCGGTCGCTTATATTTTGAGTTCGCGAGGTCGAAGTTGAAGCCAGTTACCTCGTGTTTGTAAAATGTGACGCGGAATTCAGAGCCAGTGACTTGGAACTTTGTACACGTAAACCGAAGCCGACGTCAGAGGTTTCGAACTAAGGAACGTGAAAAATGTTGAATTTTAGTTTACGAAGCCAAAGCCGAGCTAAACGTAGTGTACAAAGTTGACTTGTGAAAACAAGCCATTTTTGCAACTGCTAGAACTGTCTGGGAGCAGAAAATATTAGGGTATTGCAGGGTGATTGAGACGCGGTATTGATATTGCAGATGAAACATGTTTTGAACTATTGTCCTGGTCTTTTGTGTCAAGTGTCTTATAGTCTTACTTGTTAAACACAATGTTTCGAGGAGGTAAATTTTCATCCGACATTAGGGATGAATTAGTGCTGGGAACGACCGGCTGGTTCTGGGTTTCGGCTATGCGTGCGTCGCAGCCTCCAAAAGTTTCATGGTATATCGGGGCGAAGAAAGACAAGACTGTTCATAGATGATCTAGTCACGTTGTCAGTGAAAAAAATCACTATAACATAGCTGAAGCCAGAAATTGAAGATCGCATGAGGCCGGAGCCGGAACTATAGTTCAAAAGTTTTTTTTTCAAAGCTGGCTGAAGCCTGCGCCGAAGCCAGTGTTAAGAATGACAAAGCGAAATCCGCAGCCGTGGGCGATTGTTCAAAATGGTACGAAGCTAAAGCCGAAGCCAGTTGTGAAAATCTCTGAAAGTCGAACCCGGAGCCAAAGGAGCACTACCAGGGCTTCGTAAAGTTGTAGCCGAATTGGGCTTCGTCCTTTGGCCACAAGATAAGCTCACTTTCGCCCATGATGCTCTATGGTTAAGTGTGTCTAAGAATGCGCTGCTCTGCGCACCTTCCCAGAACGTATTCCGCGTCTGGTCGCGGCAGCGAAACGTCATCTCTCCAGTCCACCATGCTGTGTCGCATCACGCACATGATCAGCACTACCCATCAAGTGTACAAAGTGACGGCCGTGTTGGCCGTAACCAATTACTCCCGTGTGAGTGAGTGTTGACCCATGACCACCCGTTAACTCTGGCGGTGCTGGGCAGGCATGCAAGGAAGTACCTGTCCAACATGGATGAGTATCAGTGCGAGGATATCCAGAGCTGCATGGCTCTGCTGGCCTTCCCCGTTGACACGGGTAAGGAGGCTGTGAACGAAGGGCTGCACTGTGGTGGTTACACACGAGCTTTGTCGGGACAGCGCGGGCGGATGCCGGTCAGCGCTGCCAATCACAGCTGGCACGTAGAATTACCAGGATCGGTCAATTTCAATTGAATGCTGATTTGTGGATGAATGAATTAAACAAACCACTCCTCAGGTCATTGAGGCTTTACGAGGCGTTCAGGTGCTGAGCCTATAATGGTGGCATCCGCCTCTCAGCGTCGCAGGAAGCGCAGGTACCGCTATACTCTAAGTGGTCACCACATTTTACATGTTCTTTGATCTAGGTACACCCCCAGTTTCGATAGGCGTTAGGTCTAATGGCTTCGTCACTATTCTGAGCGTTGATTCGTGTTAGTTTGGAGTGCTTAAATGTCCTTTCACTCTGCTTATACTTTACAGAACGTGTAAGTGCCCAAAGGTCGTCCTTAAGTTTTGTTCGTCCATTACGCGCACGTTGTAAAACGTGTGACGTTGCCGTTGACACGGCGGCCTGTGCGCCTTACGCTGGGAGGCTGGGTCGAAGGTGCGCGCGACCGGCGGCCGGCGGAGAGGGCTGACCGAGCGGCCCTCCCCGTCCGCAGATATCGAGCCCTACTGTGCCATGTTCGCCGAAAGTCGCTGGCAGCTGCTCATCATGGAGTTCCGCGAGGAGAACTTCCGCATCTACCAGCTGTCGTCAGTGTCCGTATTCAACACGGTGCTGCAGGACGGCCTTGCCACGCTCAAGACGCAGTACGTGAGGCAGGACGGGTGGCCCCCACGGCCGGGCAAGGAACGCACGAGAGGCGCGTTCCCATACTTTGCCAGAAGGTGGCAGGTGCAAGGGCTGGAGACGCACCAAGTGTAGTACCTACTGCAGATGTAACCCTGGTGTTTTGCGACGTCCTCTATTTGAATATTGGTCTTTGTAATAAGGTATGGTCACCGAGGACTCGAGTCTCCAAACAGTCCTTGTGAAACACTCGGTCAAAGTTTCTGTTAAATGCTGTCCTTTGTATTGGAATATCATGAAAATTGTCTGGTGTCGGTGTGCGTCTCGTGCTGTGGGTTCAAAGCACAGGAAGCTAACGTCAGCGTGCAAGGCATGGTATTCTCTTGCAACAGGACATGCCATGTGTTTTTTATGCATGAGATTATTAGCGTATCGTTCGTAGCGTGGTACACGATGAACCGGTGTCCGGGCGCATCGTAACAAAGCTACTGTTGTCAGTTAACATAGCGTGAACGCGTTACCTGGAGGCCGGTGGGAGCTGTAGTCATTTTCGATACATCGATGACGTTGTCCACCTTGAACTCATGGCATCTTGAAGTGAATTTCGCTCAAGGTTGGGCGACCACCGTGCTGCCGCATCAGCACTAAGGCCTTATCCACCCCGCTCTTTCAGCGCACATCACGAGTGGATCTGTGACGCTCGGCTCCCCCCCCCCCCCCCCCGCCATGTTGCAGTCAGTGCTACCGGCATGATGGCCAGGGCAACCCGGACTGTCCGGTGTGTCAAATGCCGCTGAACGAGCTGGCCCGGCCGCTGCCGTTCTCGCACTGCACGCAGTCGCGGCTCATGTGCGCCCTCTCCGGCAAGCCCATCGACGAGCACAACCCGCCCATGGCACTGCCCAACGGTAACGTCTACGGCAAGCTGGTGAGTGTGGCGCCGCCTGGCGGGGCCTTTTGGAATGGAAGTGGGGGAGGGGAGTGGAGAGATGGCGGTTCGGGTGGCGTAACTGGCGCGGGTAGGTGCGCCGCTGTGACGCTTGCACGGCTGCTCCAATATCCGCCGCGTGGTTTGTGTGACCGGTGCCATCTACGCTGCGACTGTTGCGGCCGGCGCGGGAACCGAGCAACGTCCCGTGCGGCGCGCCGGACTGACGCCGCGCCTCCGCGCCCACCGCAGGCGCTCCAGAGTCTGGCGGTCGAGATGAAGGGACGCGTCGTGTGCCCGCGCACCCAGGAGGTGTTCGGCGAGTCGCAGCTGGAGAAGGTGTTCGTCATGTGATGGGCGCCGCCCGGAGGCAGGACGCGGCGGCGGCCGGTGACGGTGGCAAGGGGCGCGCAGGGCTGGGCCAGGGCCGTGCGGAGTAGCCGGACGGGTGTTAGGAAGAGCGTAGTGTGTCAGTGGGGGCCTATGCGTTTGTAGCTGCCTTTGAGTCACGGCTGCTGTTTGGTTCCCGGAAAGAAGGTCGACTCCCGTTTGAAATAAATTTCGAGGCAAAACATCATCTGAGAGCCCCGTGAAGGTCCGTTCGGATGCTACCTATTCCTTTGTACGGCTAAGAATTGCCAGTCGGGAGCTGGCGACTTTTTAGCGGGTGCAAAGTTTGCACATAGCAGCTATCCAGTCTAAGTGGCGTGCTCTTGTAATGTCATGCCAGCAGCCTACATGTTTGGAAAATCAATATTGATTTCCCTCTCTTGATAATCGGATCAAAAACGAAAACATTCAACCGAAGGGCAGCAGCGGGAGAGACTGGTGAAAGAGTGGGCCGCCAGTATTCAACGTCATTATTGTCTTCTTGATACGTCCTAGTGCGGTTGGAACTTTGGTCTCGCCAGGTGCGAACTGGCTGTTTGTCATTGCCTTGCTATGGTCTTCCCATGCCGTGGCGATCCTGGGTTGTGCGAATGGCTTGGTGTTTTGTATGATCGCCGAATGACCCGTATCTATGTGTGTGCCCTATGTTGCCATTCGCAATATTGGTGCGGAGAAGCCTCAGATTTGGTTTAGCCGCACAATATCACTGTATATATTGCCTTGTGATAACCGAAAATACAGGGACAGGAATGTCCGGCGCGTCTGTGCGCGTTTGTCACGAGGTGGTCCTGGTGGTGGCCTGACTGGTGACAGCCGTACCGCCGCGCGCCGGATCTCCCAGCGCGCCGTCAGCTGAGCTTCGTGCGACGTCATTGGCGAGCGACAATGGCAGCTGGCTCGGATCACGCGCTGGACCGGCAGTGTCCAGTCGTGGTCCGGGGGGACGAGTGCGACTCCCATTGGAGCGACAGACATGGTGTGAGAGATCAACATAGCTTCAAATCTGGTGGTGGGTATAAAACAACACCTTGACACGGAAACAATCCAGCTAGCCATGTCACACGGGTGCTCCGGCTCGTGCCTTGCCTGCATGCTGTAGTCTCTTAATCTACCTCGCACGTAGTCGTCAGTAGCTTATTGCACACGTTTGTGTCGTGTCGTGCGCAGGAGGGCCGACGAAATACGCATGTTACGAGCAGCTTGAACGACAGCCTGCCTGGGGTCTTGGGCGTGGCTGGCGTTTTTTTCCACCCGCAGGCGAGTTGTCTGCTGAGATTGCTACGGGATGTCCGGAACCGCTGGCGTAGAGCGGTCAGTGCAAGTACTGGGCAGCTGCTCTGTTCCCACCCACCCACATCGCTGACACCTGTAGTGTAGGCCCCGCGCTAACATCACGGGATTGAGAATAGGACACGGCGGCTGCTAGGTCACGGTCGTTGGTATCTAAGTCCGCGCATGTGACATGCATTCCAATGTGTGCATGCAGATATCCCGTATCAATGAGCTAGTTTGGCTCGGGGTCAAAGGTTTTACGGCGCGTAGAACACCAGTCGCCCACACCGTCATCGGCAAGGCCACCTGCCACTGGGCATTCGCGCGAACGGCAATGTAGACACCCTGTCCTGCGGTGCCGGGCAGACAACGGGGTCATGTCATCGCCATGGAGGCCCGCACTGGAGCTCCACTGCTGCCGACCGTCTAATAGAAATAAGCAGCAAAACAAGAAGTGTATTGACCGATTGGTTGTAAAACAAAGAGACAAGACACTAGACACTAGGGAGTTCAATGCATCTCGTTATAATACAAATTGCTGCAAATTACACGCTCCTCGAAGGACTCTCGTCCTCTGATGTAAGACACACATCGCCTCGAAATCAGCATTCGTCGTCGTCGTCATCGTCGTCTTCTTCTTCTTCCTCCTGTGGACCTGCAATCACAGGGGATACAAGTTTCAGTCTGCAATAGTGAATGAGCGAGTGAGTCATTTGAGGTTTTACCATGCGCTCAGCTGCTGGGGCTATATGGCGTCGCCCGCCTTTCACCCTGGCAGGAGGCGCGTGCGCCGCGAGGAATCGAACCCCGCACTTTTAGTTTCCCAGATGAACAGCGGTTGATGCGGACGTGTTAACCGCTACACTATCACCACCTTAGTCTGCAACAGTCTGCTGTCACAGTCATTTACAGCAGCGACTGTGACTGTCGGACAGCCCGTCCAACAGTCCACATTTCTAGAAATGCGCAACCCTCCGCCGATGCCGGCCATCTAGTAGGTGCGAGATGAGCGACAACGCAGAGCAGAGCGGCGTGAAAGGTGCCGCGCCCGGCTATCTAGTAGGTGCGAGATGAGCGACAACGCAGAGCAGCGCGGCGTGGGAGGTGTCGCGCCCAGCCATCTAGTGAGCGCGGCGTGGGAAGTGCCGCGCCCAGCCATCTAGTAGGTGCGAGATGAGCGACAACGCAGAGCAGCGCGGCGTGGGAGGTGTCGCGCCCAGCCATCTAGTGAGCGCGGCGTGGGAGGTGCCGCGCCCGGCTATCTAGTAGGTGCGAGATGAGCGACAACGCAGAGCAGCGCGGCGTGGGAGACACCATGCCTTTTGCACCGAGCGGGCTGGGGGGAGGGGCAGTCACGAGCGCAGCCCTCGGTGCTGTACTACCTCCGTAGCTGGCGGAGGGCACGGTCAACTCCAGCAGCGGCCGGTAGCTGATGCCAGCGGTCGGCAGAGGATCGGCGGCCACCGGGGGCCGCTGGCAGTCGCCGGAGCAGTGGCCGCCGGCGGCGGGCGACGGTGGCGCGTCGCCGGTCGCCGGCCGCGGCCGCTGCACGGTGCTCGTCTGGCACATGGCCCGTGCCGCCTGCATGGAGCGCTGTCGCATCTCGGCCATCAGAATCAGCTCCTCCACCTGTAGGTGGATGGAAGCAGTTGAGGGGAGGGCCCGGGCTGGCCACACGCAGCCAAGCATCCTGCTTGAACCAGCTGTGTGTCAGTGTCGACAGGCCAGTTTGTTGATAATGAAAGGGATATCTGTTTGGGGTGCCCATATTGTCCCAGGGATCCACAATTGGTGAAGAAGACATGTTGGCTGACATTTGCGACCATAGCCATACAGGCCAGGATGACCTGCAGCCTTTCAACCCTTGCTGCCATTCAGCCTTCCTATCAGGCCATTGATCTTCAGTCTTGAAGGACACATCATCCCTCTTTGAGCACTCTCAAACACTCCCTAACCAATTCAGGAGCCCTTGTCAGCAATGGAACACTGGTTAGGTGCCTGCTGAGCCAATGAGGGGCCCCTGGCTGATATTATGGCCCCTGGCCATTTTTATTATTTCAGTATGTTAATTGTTCAATATAGAGATTTTTGAGGGGTGTATCACTGTGTAGGCCCAATGCAGTCTTCCCCCATTTAGGAGGGTGTATAAGCCCCACACATAGCTGGTGGTTACACATCTGGCTTTGCACTCATTTTGGAGGGCATATGAGCCCAATATGTAACTACCCTCCAATTTTGAGGGTGTGTACAAAGTGTGCCAAAGGGGTTCGGTGTGAGGGTGCGCTGAAGTTAGTTAAGGCAGTCAGGTCAGTATCCCAAACACAGCCTATTACTTTACGCTTATTCAACTTTTCTTGAAAGAAAAACATTGAAAGACAATCTACAAATAGACTGAGGACAATCTGACTTCATCAGAACACAACACAAGGGTAACTAATACAGCTAGGTGGAAGCCCAGCAAACTGCCACAAATGCCACTCTGCAACTTACCTTCAGTTTGTTTTTTAAGCCCTGTAGCTTAGAAATTGCAGCCATGAGCTCAGTTTCCTCATCCTGGGCCTTCTTAAATGCACATGTTAGAACTGTGCAGCTATCCCTCATACCGAACCTTTGTATACTTAAACTGCCTTATCTACACTGAACCGTTTGCATGGAACCGAATATTCGCCTCAATCGCGCACAAATAGTCTTCTTATCAACAAAAAGACCGGCTCTGTACAACCACAAAAAGACACTAAACACTTCGACACGCAACACAAATAATGATTTGTATCACAACACACAACGCGTCCTCGAGCCTAGTTAGTACAAGCCTAGTTAGTACGGAGTACTCGGTGTTGTATTGCCCTGAGTACGGACTGTCCTCTGTCGAACAAATCCTCCAGAATATCTAGTACGAACTCTTGATAAGAGGGGAACCATGGTTATTACCGACTGAGTGGCGGCGTCTAGTACGTATAGATACTAAACAGAGCACCCCCGGTAACCCAAGGCTGAACAGAGGAAATGAGGTTGTTTCGAGGTGAAAGTCGTGAATTTCTTTTCGTTCGGTGGGAGTGGAAAACCTTCCCCATTTTAAAATCCCAATTCCATTGACAGTGCGTATACACCCTCCAAAACAGAGGGCGGTTACGCACCGGGCCTATGCACCCTCTAAGTCTTTCAGATGGTTGTACGTGTCAACCATACGCGGATGGGCAGCCTTGGAGGGAAGAAAATGCAGAAATGCAGAATCCCGTGCGATAAGTCCGTTCTATGCGTGATGGATATCAAACGATCGCGAAATCCATCCGCTCACTCTGAACCATTTCTATTCTAATCACAAATTTTCGGCCGTCGGCCTCGAATCTCCAGAGAATGGATGGTTAGCGTGCTGGTCTCGCACGCGGTAAGCCCCGGCTCGAATCTCGACGACAGCCGCTGTTAAGTGGGTGGCTCAATGGTATATCGGCGTGACGTGATGATGCCAACACGCTTCACTTCTAAGCAGAATGAACCCTAAATAGTGTTTTTTCATTTCGGACAGCACCGTAGTTTCTAATGCTAGGGGGAGGGAGTCCACACCCTGCAGAGATACTGAGGATCCCGTGAAGGTTGACCATATATCTAAATGGGTGTGACACACTGAATAGCCAGTGGAAATGACGCATACGACGGCGGAGGCATGCAGAATGACGTTCGGCAATTGTGCGTAAAAATTCATCAGCGCGTATTTGACTGCTGCTCAAAGGCGAAGGCACCAAGGCCAATAGCGACGGAACCTGAACGGTCATGGGTGCCGCAGGAGACCAACACAGTGGCTCCCGTCAACAAGTAGGGTCCTCAGAGCAGGCAAAAGGAACTCAAGACCAACGTGGTGGGTCAATAAGCGATCGGTAATGCCTCGACAGGCTGACCTATGAAGCCCCGGTCATAGCAGAGGACCCTGCGAGCAAAGGGGAATTATTCAAGACCATAAATAAATATCCCTGTGCAATCAAGAGTGCACGGGCAGGTTGCACGAGTCTCACAACAACACGAGTCTCGATAGGAGTGAAAAGTCAGCCGCAAATGAGACCAAAGGGAGAGACCCCTCGATCAAAGTGGAGGGCCCCTGAGCATCGAGCGTCTCCGTGCCTTACCTTATAAGAGCTCTAGCAACGGCACAAGGCCCTTCAAGCAAGTAGAAAGTACCTGATATTTATATGAAGGGCCCCTGAGCAACTGGGTGTACTCTGGCATATGCGGCCCCGGAAAAAGTGAAGCCCCAAAATTCCCCCAAGCAACACTCTTTCAATCAGCGACGAATGAACTTTGTTGCCATATGACCAACATAGTCGGTGCGCCCCAAAGCCCATATCATCACCATCATCACGAATGAACTTCGTTTACTTATGAACTTTTTACTTTTGCTAGCAATGGTTCTTGGCCATCTGTAGGCCCAAATGCATCCAATTTTGTTGTGCTTTTGTTGTAAGGAAACTGCGCCCGTCCGGCCGGCTATGGGTCTTTTGGAGCCTTTAGGTTCCCTCGGCATGGTCCATGGGACATGGTCCTGTGCGCCCCCCCCCCCCGCCCCTCTGCGTACGCCACCGGCCAGAGCAGCTGAATAATTGGGGCCTGCTAAGAACATAGAGCCATCCATCCAAATAAAAAATACTCGCGACGCAATGTGTAGGGCTCTGAACGATCGAGTGCGCCAGAACAGGTTAGCATATAGGGCCCCCGTCAAGAGCTTGGGGTCCTCCATTGAAAAAGGAAATATTTAAGACCCAATGTAGAGGCCCCCGAATGATCGAGTGTGCCCGAGCAGGTTAACAGATAAGGTTCCGAAAAAGAGCGCAGAACCCTCCATTCAAATAGAAAGCATTCAAGACCCAATGCAGAGGACCCTCGAATGATCTAGTATATCAGAGCAAGTAAGCATATAGGGCCCGGTCAAAAGCGTAGGGCCCTCCATTCAAATAGGAAACACCCAAGACCCAATGCAGAGGGCCCCCGAATGATCGAGTATGCCCGAGCAGGTTAACAAATAGAGCTCCCAAGAGCGTAAGGCCCTCCATTCGAATGGCAAGCACTGAAGATCCTAAGTAAATGACCCCAAAATGATGGATCATGCCCGAGTAGCGTATCAGAAGGAGCCCGACAAGAGTGCGGGGCCCTTCATTCAAATAAGAAGTACTCAAAACCCAGTGCGGAGGGCCCCCGAGAGATGGAGTATACCCGAGCAGATTATCAGGTGACCCAGACAGGAGTGTAGGGCCCTAAATTCAAACACCAAGACCCAATATATAGGGCACCCGAACAATCCAATGTGCCCGAAGCGGCGAACAGATAGGGTCCCTGACAAGTGCGTAGGTCCCTCCAATCAGATAGGAAGTACCCAAGACACAATGTGGAGGGCCCCCGGATATTCGAGTGTGCCCGGGTAGGTTAACAGATGGGGCACCGGCAAGAGCGTAGAGCCTTCCGTTCAAACATGAATTACCCACGGCACGATGTAGAAAACCCCGAATAGCCGAGTGCGCCACAGCAGGCTAACAGATAGGGCCCCCGAAAAGAGCGAAGGGCACTCCATTAGAAAAGGAAGTACCCAAAACCAGACGTAGCGGCCCCCACGATCGAATGGGGCAGAGCATCTTATCAAATGGGGGCCCCGACAGGAGCTTAAGGCCCTCCATTCAAATAAGAAGTACCTAAAACTCCATGCGGAGGGCCCCGAAAGATCGGGTGTACCCGAACAGGTTATCAGATGACCCCGATACGACAGAGGGCCCTAAATTCAAACACCGAGAAACAGGGGAACAGGCGCAGGGCTCACTAGCAATCCAGTGTGACCGAGGAGGCGTACAGAGGGGGCCCCAGACAAGTGCGTAGGGCCCATTCAAACGGCACGTGCCTAAGGCCCAATATAGAGGGGGCCCCGAACGATTGAATGTGCCCGCGCAGGTTGTCAGATAGCCCCCCCCCCCCCCACAGAAGCGTAGGCTCCTCATTCAGAAAATATTACCAAACACCCAGTAGACGGCCCCCGAACAACTGAGTGTGCCCAAGGAGGTCATTAGATGGCCCCCCGACAAGAGTGTAGGGCCCTAAGCAAGTGACAGAGAATTGAAAACGCCCTAGACCAATGTAGAGGACCCATGGGCATATCGCGAGTGTCGGTAGGTTAACCGATACCCACGTAAAGGGCCCCTGAGCAACCGAGAATACCCCGGCGGGTTAAGGTATGGAACTCTGGCTACCACTCACAGAGCCTTTCTGACGAATGGAAATAATTAGTGGAAGGGCCCGTGATTGACAAGAGTTCCCCGGCACACTAACAGGAAGGGCCCCAACAACAGCGCAGGGGCCTCTGAGCAAATGCAAAGAAATGAAAGACAACGTGGAATGCTCCTAAACGACTGAAACGGACCTGCAAGGCACATATAAGTCCCCCGAAAGCAGCATGAGCCTTAGACGGCGTAATGGGGCTTAAAATTTCCAGTTCACAACTTTTCCGATCATTGAGTAATTTTTGGGACTTCACATAGGTCCTCCACTTTCGCTTACAACTGTTGTTGGTGGCCTGAAAGTCCAAAGATGCCCAGTTTTGTTGCGTTTTGTGTTAAAAAAAAAACTGCACGTGTTCGGCCGCCTATGGGCCCTCCCGGAGCCAATGGGCCCATTTGGGGCCCAAGGGGGCATGCCCCGTGGCCCAACTCTCTGGATCCGCCCCGGATTGTTACGGTACGCTTTTGGGGGATACTTTTAGTTTTTCCACTTTTTTTGCTGCTCGCCCGAATTCAGTTTGCCATTGATGTCAGACTGTTGTGGGAAGAATGCGACTGATCCTAAGCCTGAAGTGTTATTCAGGTGACCACCACAAAATCTCAAATGGGAACATCGAAAATCCGACATGGGACCCGAAGGGCTGGCTAAAGGTCATTGAGGGGGTGCGGGTCGGGCCCTCAAATATCAGCCAGAGGGCCCGTTGCACCGACTGGGCCCCGGCCTGGGTCCGGGAGCCCATTTCCCAAGCAGAGACAAGGCCAGGACCCGCGATTTACATTGGTCAGTGCACCCCGAGCCAATGAGGGGCCCTTGTGTCGGCCAGGAGCACATAGCGCCTAACCGGAGGTCCAGTGTTGACAAGGGCCCCCGAGTTGGTCAGGGAATGTTCGAGGGTGCCTGAAGAGGGACCGATGTGCCCTTCAAGACTGACGATAAACAGACCGATGGGAAGGCCGAATGGCCGTAAGGGTCAAAAGGCTGCAGGTCATCCTGGCCTGTATGGCTGTGATCCCAAATGTCAGCCAATATGCCTCTTTCGCCGATTGCGGACCCCTGGGACAGTACGGGCACCTATTTCGGCCGGAGACCACAACACCGAATAGTTGACTCCGTGTTGTTGTAAGCCCTGGGGCCCCATTTCTCTAGCAGGAACGAAACCGAGGCCCGCGATTGCATTGGTCGGAGTCCCTACAATGAGCGGTCTTTAGACGGGCGGTCTCTCAGAGCGTCCAACAGAGAGCCCTGTGGCGGAAGGAGTCCCGAGTCGGCCAGAGGTGACCCGGGGCTCTTGCGGGAGCCTTCACCCCGTTTAAGCCAAGGGTCCGTTGGCCAAACATGGGTCTCTGTGCCAGTTATTGGATCGCCTGCGGTTATCAGAGATCTTGTTGCCCCAATGAGGGCTCCTGCACCTATTCCGGGTCAAATGCCCCGGCCAGAAGCCGCCAAAGGGCCTTCCGCGCCAGAGAGGGCACCAATGTAGGACGCACATCCGTGAGGGCCTCAGGACGAACTCATCAGGCGAACCCACCTCAATGTCGCCAGAATGGCAGCTGGTAGACATCCCGGGCTGGGACGGAATGATCTTTGAGCATTCGCTAACTCTTCACTAATGTCTACACA